CAGCTGTCACACAAAGTGCAGAGCAGGGACACGGACACCAGCAGTGACGGAGAAGAGGGCCAGAGCTTCTAGTTACACGACTCCTGCCTCCAGTGTCCTTTCTCAGATGCCCAAATCCTAGGGCACAGTGAGGCTCCTCAGAAACATCCCCTGCCCAGGGCAGGGCAAGGTTCTAATACAGATCTACTTCCTACCCGGGGTGAACACGTGGCCTCAAAATCTCCTGGTTTCAAACACTGATCCCACTGTTCTCACCGCTTTCTGAAGCAGTTCTGGAAGTCCCCTTTCATGAGTGTCTTTAGTTGCACTGTCATGGCTGCCTATAACTGACTGAAAATGGGGAAGAGCCAGATGTCGCACGGTGTCAGATCTGGTGATCACAGTGGAGGAGGTCACACTTTTCCTTTGGACAGCAGCAGTACTCACTGTATTTTTTTTTTTTGGTACCGGAGATCGAACTCAGGTCTTTGTGCTTTTGAGGCAGGCAGCGGAACCACTGAGCTAAATCCCCGGCCCTGTATTTTTGATCACACCTCAAAAAGACCCAGGAAGTGCAAGGACCCGAGTTTGAACTCCGGTGCCAAAAAAAGACACCCAGGAAGAAGGACTTCTAGAAGGTAGAAAGAATAAGTGCATTTGAAGCATGGGGGAGTATCTGGAGAGGAATTAATGGCAATGTCTTTTACTGTAATACATGTACAAAGTTTAAACATTGGCTATTTTGACCACATTTTGTAGAACGTGAATGAACTTTGATGACACTGCTACATGAAAGACATCAGACATACAAGGTCATGCTGTGAGTCCGCTTATATGAAGCGTCCACAGCAGGCAAATCCACAGAAATAGGATGCAGACGAGTTCGTGATAGGTGGGCGAGAATGAGGAGCTGCCCTAAGTGGGTACGGGGTTCCTTCTGGGGTGCTAAAAATGCTTTAAAATTAATCCTGGTGATGTCTCACAACTCTTGTATACTAAAACCACTGGCTGTATTTTATGGTTTGTGAATTTCAACAGAGATGCAGTACAGCATGTGCTTAGCATGCACGAGGCCCCCAGCACTTAAATAGGACTAATCCAATCCGAGATGTTGTGTATGTATAAAGTATGTAGAGGAGGGCCGGGGATTTAGCTCGGTGGTCCTGCCGCCTGCCTCGCAAGCGCAAGGTCCTGAGTTTGATCCTTGGTACCAAAAAAAAAAAAAAAAAAGTATACACAGGGTTTCAAAGACAGGAAAAAAGAATGTAAAATACCTTAAGTTTTGGTACTGATTATGTGTTGAGGATATCAATATTTAGATATAATGGGTTAAAGATAACGTTATTAGAATTAAATTTGCCTATTTCATGTTAATTAAAAAATCTGACTACCAGGCAATTTAAAATTTGCCATCAAGTACTTTAAAATTTGCTGTCTTACACTTATAGCTCGTATTATATTTCTTTTCTTTTTTGGGGGTATAATAACTTTATCCTCTGTCAGAACACAATCCAACATGCTGTGGGAGGGAAAGGGAGGCAGCAGTCCAGTCTGGGGCTCACATACAAGGAAGGAGGGTGGGATTCAAGGGCCTCACCCTGCTGCTTGCCCCACTGGGATAGAGTCACAACCCTAACACCACATATAAATATCTTGTTATATTAAAAAAAAAAATCTCCAGGGCCTACCTGGCTCTGCTCCTGCTGTGACATCACAGATCACAAAGAGGGGGTGGTAGGAAGAGGCAGATATTGGGGGGCAGGAAATGGGACAAGTCAATGTGTAATTAGGGCCCCCAAAATATCCAGCAGAGTGGGGGGACCTGGGTGTTGTTCACTCCTGTCCCCATCCCTGATGTGCTGCCGGCCTCCCTTCTTGCTAGGGGACAGTCCCTGTCCTCAGGTCTCTGAGGTTAGCCCCTTCCACCACAGCCTCTGCCCCAGATGAGAAACTCGGGGAGCTGCAGGGTCCTCCTGTGCGGAGGACGTTCCGGGGACAGGCCAGTTGTTGGGTCGCCCTTCAGTCCCTGACCAGGCGGTAAACATGGTGCTGGGCCCCACGCTCACTGGTGGAGGCCTCGAAGATGTAGGCGGTGCACAGCAGCAGTTCCTGGCTGTCTCTGTTCGTCACCACCTGCAGGATGGTGAAGTTCTCCAGGACGCTGTTCATCATGTAGTGCTCGGGCAGCTACCGAAGCTTGTGCAGGAAATTCACCAGGCACTCGCACATGGGCGAATGCAGCAGGTGGTACTTGAACCGTCCGTCCTCTAGCTGGGCCTGCTCCATCTCCACCTTCTCCACCACCTGCTTGCCGAAGGAGCAGACTTTGGAGGAGCAGGTGAGGGTCATGTGCTCCAGACTCTCATACTGGCTGCTCACTCATAGAAGCCACCATTGCCACTGCCAGCACCTGCCTCCTCACAGCTTGGGCCCCAGGTCAGGCCAGCCCAGAACTTGACCAGGAAAAAGGGGTGGGGGGCCCTCGACCTAAAGCTCCCACAGACTGCCCTTTTTCTCGGGGGATTTGTCGTAGATCTGCCGGACGTCCTTGCTCTCCAGGCGGGGTGCGCCAGGGCTGGGACAGTGCTGGCTGATGTGGATGAACAGGTGCCTCTGCTAAGAGTCAACTGCATCTGCCGGCTCCACAAAGGCTGAGAATTCCACCTGCTGCAAACGGGCAGTGCCCAGGGCCCGACTCTGCCACGCTGGCCGTGAAGGGGCAGGGGAGAGAGGGCTCGTACCCTGGGAGGTCAGTAGATGGGGGTGTCAGTGACAAGGAGAACTGTGTCTGTGAGAACGGCTTCACATCTGGCACATTCCAGGGGGGTCCAGAGCCCCCTGACCAAAACTGGAACGGCTCAGTGGCCTGAGGACCGGCAGGACCCAGTTTGGCCTGCAAGGAAGGTGCGGAGATGAGCTGGGTGGAGGACACAGTAGCCATCGTCTGGAAAGCCTTGTCCTTGGAAACCTGGTCCACATTCAGGGCCTTCAGCTTGGACTGGATTTCTCTTGATTTCCTCTGAGCCAAAACCTGGATGTGACTAGAGACCTGTTTCCGAGTCTGGGTCTTCCCAGTTCTGAGCTTGATGTAGCGGGCAATCAGTTCATTCCGACCATACATCTTGCCTTCATCAGACAGGATGATTTTTCGGCGGCCGCAGGGCGGGTAAGATGGCCAGTGCCTCCTGGAAGCTCTGCTCCATGTCAGGGCTCCAGACGCCCTTTGCATCTGGGCCGCCATCGCCCCCGGCCCCCTTGCTGCCACCCATGCCCTCCTCACTGCCTTCCTTGCTGCCAGTCCAGCCTCTGCCATCCTCCAGGGGGACCCCAGCCTGGGGTTCCCCCATCTGGGCCTCCTGGCCTGGGCCTGGGGAGCCCTTGTATTATATTTCTAATGAATAGTGCTGACCTAACACCATCCTTTAATCTAAATTTTGATTTTTTAGAGGGTTTAAAAATGTGATGAAATATAAGTATCTTTAAACCTTTGATTTTCATTTTTGTTTTTTTGGTACCGGAGATCGAACTCACAACCTTGCGCTTGTGAGGCAGGCAGCGGAACCACTGAGCTACATCCCTGGCCCTTGATTTTCCTTTTAAAGTAAATGCACATTCACAGAAGCTGGAAAAAGCAGTACGGATTGGTCCTGTGTACCCTTCACACTGTTTCCCCAAAGGCACCGTCCTGCAGAACTATGGAAGAGGATTAACACAATCCTTTTAAACTTTTCTGTGGAACACTACTCAACCCTGGTGAGGAAGAATCTGAGGCTGTAACGGGAAATGGTGTCTCAAAACTGTTTCTCTTAAATATTGCTCCTCTTGGAACGATAACAAGTGGAAATCCAACTGTAGGTTTCTCCACAGAACCTGTCCGTGTGCGGAGCTGCAGTGACTACACCCATCCTGGGTGCGGCACCTACCGCGGCCCGCACCCCACTGCCAGTTGACGGGTGTGGGGGGCTACAGAATAAGCGCCCTGGGCCCCCGCAGATCCCACTCAGCTCCAGTGCACCGATCGCCAGGGCCGACAGGCTGAGCAGTGTCCTTGGGGGAAGTCACAGCCTCGGCAGACGGCAGGAGCCACCTTCCACTGTTCTTTGCAGGGAGAGCAACTGCACCTGAAGCTTCAGGGGCCGCTTTTAACACGCTTGCCAATCCCGAGCGAGTGGGTTTGGAGGTTACGCCTCCCTCTTCTTTTCTCTCAGGCAACCATTTTGGGACTGTGTCTGTTCTCTGCCCACAACTCCGAAGTTCTCGGATGACCTTGGCATGGAGCATGCAGGAAACGATCATGTCCACGGATCCTCCACCCTCCCGGCTGTGAGGAGAGGGAGGCCGATCTCACCTGGGGGACGGCGCCATGCTGCCCCCGAGATGGGGTGGTGGGCGTCTCTGGCACAGTTAGAGCCTCGGACGGGCTGCTCACGTAGGAACTGCTACACTGTCCCCTCCCCTCAGCCGTCACTTGGAGACGACCTCCACGTGAGTGCCTTCTCTGGGGCGGGCGTTAGGGGCAGCAGGCGACCACACCCTTGCCCACCCCCGGGACGACCCAGGGCAATCTGCCCACCTCAGGGTCCTTAACCTGGCCCGTTTGCAAAGTCCCCCCGAAAGGCCAAGTCAGAGATGAGGCACTGTGGAGAACGTGGGGCAGGGACAGGGTGGAGGGCAGTGATGCCGAAGGTCTTTCTTCTAATCTGGGTAAGTCTTGGATTATGCTTTTCTTATAGATTAGGGTTATACATGAGGATTAGGCCCCCAGCTCTAACCATACAAACGAATTAAATATTGAGAAATACTGGAGTGAAGGATTCTGGGAATATGCTCCTCTCCCACCCACCTCTGCCTCCCTGAAGCAGGGAGGGGCTTGGGCCTGGGATGAGTGTGGCTGGCAGGGACCTGGCTGGCACTGGCCTCTCTTCAGTGAGCACTGCTAGCCAGAGGGGCCGCAGAATGGGACCACTGCTTCCCACTGCTGTCCACTGCGCTCAGAGCGGGGCACCCTCCACCCTGATCACCTTTGGAACTGCAGCTCCAAGAGCCAGACCCGAGCCCAGGATGGTGGAGGGAAAACAGCGGTGTGCCTGAGGGGAATCGGGGAGCCAGGGGAAAGAACTGATCCAGCCCAGCTGCTCATAGACTCCTGCTTCTGGGGGTGGCTGACACCGCAAGAGCACTCGAAAGGAACGACCAGGAAATGCTGCAGAAGATGGCCCCGAAGGCACGGGAGAGCAGAACGGGATTTCCAAGCCGCTGAAAGAGACCAAAAGGAAGGAGCAGGTGCTGAACAAAGGCAACAAAAACAGGGAAGGAAGATAAAACAACTAAACGAGTATGCTGGAAAGAGTAAAATCAGCTCTCTCTGCTACTGAGCTGACTAATTGGGGTGGGTAACAAAACAAAAACACCTGAAACAAGTGATGCAGATTGAAAGTAGAGACGAGGTAAGGCTCACCAGGTACAGCTGGGGGAGAACAAGTCAGTTCATATCAGATGAGGCAGATCTGAAAAGCACCAACATGATGAGCACCATTTATAAAAATGATGCAGCATTCACAAACTTACCTAAATTTACACTATATAGGACTGCAGCTCAGTACAGTTTCTGTCAGTGAGCGCGCACACACTGGTGTGTGCCACCTAGCCCCGTGTGCACCGACTCTACCATCCAGGTGTGTGAGTGCACTCCAGTGTCCCGACAACAGCACAACCAACTCAGCACGGAGTTCTCTGGACACAGGACTGTAAATAAAGCCTATTGGAAGTGAAAGGTTACACCTGCATCTTCTCCAAAGCTTCTCTATAAAATATTTGCAACCAGTAACCATTACAAAAACCAATCAAGGACTTGGCCAGAAGAAAGTATTAAAAAATTAACCGGAAGAGTACAGCTCCAGAGCCTGAGTTCCATCCTCCGCATGGGGTGGGGGAGGCTCGAACCAGGAGATCATCTAGTCTCTCGTACGATGACCGATCTAGTGCTTTCCACTTCTTAGGTTATTTTTAAGATTTTTCAAATTAGCTGCCAGAGCTGTGTGTTGCTTTCTCTCTTATAGTACACCCTTACTATGTACCCATTAAAAATGACATTCTAGAGCAATATATTTTTGTGAAAAGAGCAGGAAACAAGTATAATTGAGGCAACCGTTGTATTCCTTAGCTTCATAGCTGTATCTCTGGTTTATACCTTTATCTCATGCTACTAACCAGCCCCAGTTGATTGATTGAGATCTATCAGTGTAACCTAAAACGAGCTCCCCTGGTCACACCCGCTCCTTGAGGCTTTCAGGACATACCTACAGGAAAGGAGGACAGTGTGTCTGTACCTACCCTTAACCTCCCTGCCTCCTAGGGATTAAGTTTTCAGTCTACCTGCTTTACCTACACAGCAATACGTACTTGCGGAACTAACGTTTATGAGGCATGTGCTATGCTTAGATGTTTTACTTAGTTTCTCACAATTTTTACACCTGCCCAGTTCAATGTATATATACTTTATAAACAAATAAATGGATTCAGAGGGATTTAGTGACTTGTCTACATTTGCACCACTGGTAAATGAATTACGGAGCTGAGATATACCTTCCAGGTCTCCAGACTTAGAAATCCGTGACTCGTTTTGACTAAACACACTTCCTCTGAAAGAGTATCTGCTTGTTGTTGCTGGTCAGAATTTGCAATGGAGACCTTACCTTATTCAGAAGGCTGTTTGACCTGGGGGAGAACATCTCAGCCACTGGTGCCTTCAGAAGTGGGGGTCTGGGATAATAATCAAGTGAACCTGTGCAAGGAAATCACATGCCATCCGCTCCATGGGGAGGAGCAAGGCACTTGCCTAGTCTTTTTCAAGTTGACTCAGATTTGGCCCAAAAAGAAAGTTGGCGGAAGCAAAGGAGAACTAGAAGTCCTGTTCACATTGAACCTCTCTGCAAGTCTGCCAAAGCCACAAAGCCGGCTGCCACTGTGCCCTCACCCGTGCTCCCAGGAAGCAAGCCTCGCTACGGAAATGGCGTTTGCTTTCTAGGGCAGGCAAACCTGCCTGCTGTGATTCACTGCCGTCCTGGACAGAAGCGGTGACAAGGTGACGAGAATGTGCAGCTGTCTCCCTGAGGAATTGGCAGCAGTTCCTTTGCCTCCTAGTTTTCGTGAGAAGTGGCCAGGATAGAACTGGGGTCTGCATGTGGCAGGATGTGTGCACACACGTGTGCAGGAAGCCTGAGGGCCACTTGTCTCAGAGCCCTTTCTCGGGCTATGTTACATGGGGCACTAGTATACATTTACATGGCAGCAAGAAAGGGGGACCCTCTCACATTAAAGAAAAAATCAGGGCAGTATAAGATGATCAATCTTTTCAGGTTTTCTAACATTTCATTTTCAAAAAAGAGCACATTTTGCCTGACTCTGGAGAGCAGATTTCTGATAGAGCCTGTTGTCTGCTAGGAGCTGAAACATGGGGCTGCCTTCTACATTCAGTAAGCACGCAGACCTGCACAGAGCTGTCTCCTAGGAAGAGGCCTTGAGGGAGGTGACCCTGACCAGTCTGGCCTCTGTCAGTGACTCCAAACTTCAGCATCCCTGGGAGGGCTTTGGAACATTCTGATGCATGGGCCACACTTGGTTAAGTTATGGCTGATTTTGTCTGGGTTGTCTGGGGTGTTATTTTTAGCAACTGTGGTGTACACACATAACCACTAATCCACTTTCTATGTCTACAGTTTCCCTACTCTGGAAATTTCACAGGAATGGATCATCTAGTAAGTGGCACAAGGTTTTATGGCGTGAACATACCACTAGGGGATCTGGGCCGCTTCCCCTTCTTTGGCCACTGTAAATAATAATGCTGCTATGAGTATCTGCCTAGAAGTTTGGTTTTTGGAGACAGGGTCTCCCTATGTGGTTCAGGCTGCCCTTGAACTCATGGTGATCCTCCTGCTTCAGCCTCTTCAGTGCTGGGATTACAGGCATGCACCACCATGCCTGGCCATGAGGATTTGTTTGAACATGTTTCAATTCTTTTGGGGTGGGACTGCTGGTCATACAGTAATTGCATGTTTAACTTACTTACAAAGCAACAAGTGGTATGAGTGGGAAACAAAGATTTGAAATGCTCAGGTGAGTGCAGTGTCCGGGCAGGGCTGAGAACCAGGTTGGTTAAGATTCAGCTTTGTATAGATCATGATGAAAAAACACACATGAAATCAGCAAAATCCAAACATGAGACTGACTGCTTCAGCAAAGAAATTACAAGGAAAGAGTAGGGGTGGGGGACGGGTGGAGTCTGGATGCCTCTTGAAGGTGTTTAGGATTTAGGAGAGCCATCAGCCAGAGCCTTCCCTGACTCCACTCCAACACTCACACAGGGCTTGTGTGGAGCCAAGCCGCAGACGCCTGCTCAGCAGTGAGGCCCTCCCTGGGTGCCACCAAGAAATAAAGTGTAGAATAGCCGGGGGTGTAGCTAGGGGCACCGCGCCTGCCTGGCAAGTGCAAAGTCCTGAGTTCGATCCCTGGCATCAAAAACCCCCAAAGAAATGCTGTCCAATAAAAATAAATGTGAGCCTTAAATGCAATTTAGAAAAAATTAAAAAACAACAGAGCCATGCATACTTGGAAAAACTGCATCTGTGAGACAAACCTAAATGCTTTGATAATATTAAGGAATTATGTTATAATGGGGTGCAGTTATGGTTTAAAAAGTCAATCTTTGCAGATACAAACATAGTTTTATACGAAATTATATAAATTTCCTCAGAATAATACGAGAAGGTGCGAGAGTGCACACAGATGAAAAAAACTAACAATCATGGCCGTGAGCACTTACTTGTTAAAAGTGGGGGTGAGTGCGGTGGCCATTATACTGTTCTGTTTTTGTATTGTTCCAATCTTTTTGTAATCAAGAAAGACAAAGTCTCGGCTGCTGCCAACAAACGGGGAGACAGCGGTGCCAGTTGTGCATTTAAGAAGATGCGGCCTCCTTGTCCCTTCCTCTGAAACCAACTGCATCCCCTGGACAGGGAGCCCTGAGGGTGGCTTCCCGGGGCCCAGGTGTGGCTCTCAAAGACAAGAATTCTCTTTTAAATTTTCCTGTTGAATCTACTCAAACATTTCTAGTTCTAGAAGCTGCAGTGAACTCCATTACGCGCGCGCGCGCGTGTGTGTGTGTGTGTGTGTATGCGTATGCACAATGTTAAATCCACCATCTCAACCATCTTCTGGGCAGACACTTTGGTGTCATTAAGTGCAATCACGCTGTTTGCAGCCACTATCACCACCACCGTCCCCACAGCTTTGTCGTCGTCCTCCACTGAAATGCTGCCCCATTAGGCAACTGCCCACTCCCTGCTCAGCCCCGGCATCCACTGTTCAACTCTGTCTCCCTATGACTCTGGCCTAGATGTGACACTAGGTCCCCACTGTGAATTCTGAGGGGCCTAGACCTGGAAACGGAATTGGTGGATCATATGATAATTCTACCCCATACTTTTCAACCAAGCCAGGGGTCTTCTAAATGATAAATTTGCCCACAGTTTCCTGCTGCCTTCTTGAATGGGGCTAGGCTCGGGGTTGAGAAGGGAAGGTAGGATAACCCAGTAGTTAACAGCCTGGGCTTTGAAAGCTGACTCTAATGCTGTCTAGAACACTGGCTCTGAAACTGGTTTACCACTTAGCCCTGAAGGCTTAGTTTCCTCGCCTGAGGGCTAATACCAATCTTACACAAATTAGACGGTGGGTGTTTGTATAACGTACAGTATATGGCACACAGCACTCACTGAGTGGCTTCTAGCTCACAGGTTACTTCTATTGCAACAGCCCTGGGCATTGGCGGGAAAGGTGGCCCTTCCTTCCAGGTGGGCGCACAGGCTCCCACCAGCCTCTCCTAGCAGTGAGCTGACCTGCTCCAAGGAACATGCCTGGGGGCAGACCAGGCTGCTGACCCTTGCTGGCCTCAGTGTTCTGCAGGAAAAAACTGTTCTCGTTCTCGTGTCTCTTCTATCAATTTAAAATGTACAGCTCAGTGGTTTTGGTACATTCACCATTGTGCATATATCACTATCACCGATTTTAAGGCATCTTCATTACCTCAGAAGAATCACCACACTCAGTGGTTGTCACTCACTATGGTTTGAATAGGGTTTGCCTTCCCAAATGCATGCAGGAGTTTAATCTTCAGTCTTCTGCTAATGGTGATAAAAGGGCAGAAACAATCTGATGGTGATGTTTAAGGGAGGGTCATTTGAAAAGTGATTAGACTGGGT